ACGTGGGACGTAGAGGGAGACGAGAAAGAGAGAGGATGGACCACGCTTATACGTGCGCTAAGAATATTAAATGCCAATGAACGGGCTTGAAAATGTGCATGACCGACCATCCGAGGAATTTAACAGTAAAGTTTACGCTTTCCCGCCGGGGGGTACGTTTTTACAGCCGCGTAAAAATTCACGAATGGCACTTGTTAAAAGATGAATTGTCTTGGCGCGGCAAAATCTTCAGCGGTAGACCTTTGCCAAGTGACTTGCTAAATTCTTTCACAGGTCAGTAAAATGCGCTCAATCGTCTAATTTATAGCTAAAGACTTTTTGTCGCAAACGCGATAATCGTTTCTTGTTCGGGAAATCGAAGCGGGCGAACAGGGCGCAAATCGTCCCGAATCGACGAAAGGCAATTGGAGGGCATGGAAGATTTAAGATCCATCGATTAACACGGTCAAGGAATTCCACTCGCGTAATTTTTGCCGTTGCCGAATGCGGCGATACGTCCGAATGAAATCCGATTTTCTCGACTATCGCGCGTTATACGGAGTTACGTATTTGGTTTGCTGACATTGTGCGATAGAAATCACCGCGAGCGGCGGTGATTTTTCACGTCGACGCGGGCTCGTTTCAGCAGTCCCGACATTCGCGCGCCGCCGATGTATAAGGAAATCGATGTCCCCGTAACCCAGACCTATTGGACGTAACAGTTTTCACTACGCGCGAGATCCGCGAGCGCGAACCGCAGTCTGTACTGAAATCGTTTCGTCATTAGCGTCATTTGGTGTCATTAACGTCCGACGCGAGCGGTTCCCCGCTCGATTTCGAATTTAATTTAACGTACCACCAGCAATTTCGCGTTCGCCGTCGCTGAAATATTACGCGCGCTTCTAGCAAAGATGCATCGCCGTAATTTCATCTACGTAGACCTCCTGTCGTTTATATAGTACCGCTGGATGAAGCGCGACCTCGTTATCGTACTTCATTATAATAGATATAAAATATGTACACCTGCGTTAAAAAAAAAAAAAGAAAACATCACACAAACGATCCTCGAATCGTGTTCTAAAGTAGAAACATATTAAAGTTGGATTATAAATTATAAAGATAAATAAAGTAATTTTTAGATCGTTTTCCACACAATGTGGAACTATTTTGCCATATTGCGATTTTAATATTTTATGAGAAGAATTCGTTTTGTGTTAATGAGTTTCATTTTCGGCTTATGTGGCAATTAACCGCTCGTATTTACATTAACAATCGCTATTGTTCCTCGTTACAATCAGCTTCGCGTTTCTCAGTTTCATAATTTCAACACTGCGCTCTGTGTGCAATACTAAATCAAAAATATTTTAATACCCTTATTAGTAACTCTTATCCGATTTCCGCTATTATTTCGACGTGACCGAACAAACTAGTCGCATTGGATTTAAAATCGTAATAACCTCGAGTAGCCCAGTTTCACGGCGAGGTCCCGCGAGACGCTCGTTATGAAATCTCCATAATGAACGAATGCTGTCCCGCCTCGTTATTAAAATGCCGACATCGACGACGAAGCGGCCGGCGATGCGGCGAGAAGAAAACCGCAGTATCTCAAGTGCACGCTACACTTGCCTAATCGCGAGACCGCAAACAACAACGTTACGGCCGGGCCGGCTGCGCAAAGCTACACGAATTTCGTACGATAATTGCACGATACGAACGCAAAATGTTAATCCGCTGTATTTCTTTCAGACTCGAATTATGATATCTTAATACACGGCGCAGCCGCGGTGAGAATTTCGAAAGAGTGCGCCTCCCCACGCTACACCGACAGCGCGCGAGGAAAAACGAGTGCTAATTAACGCGTAATTAGTACCGGCGCATTAATTTGATTTGCGACGTGACGCGAATTTCAACCGGATTCAACAATATCGTACCACCAGCGTGGTACCATCGCGATATTGGGTTTTACCGAATTAGACGGGAGGAAAAGAGGGGTGCGTAAATTCTTCGCAACTCATTGCGTTCGCAAGCGTCGCACGTGTCGCAAAACCGCAACAAGCAGTCGTTCTTCACTCGGTAGTTTAATAATATCGACGTGGGTATCAATTACGCATTGCGTATAAAGCAATTACGTTAAGTAGAAACGATGACAAATGTAATTTGTCGTTCGGATATAACAGGTACGCTACTTGTCGATGATGATTTTCATTCACGTTTAATTGGTTAATTACTTCGCGCTCGTATAATCTTTTTTTCAAATTTTATCGCAGTTAAAAATATCAAATTCTGCTACGCAGAATTATGCGCTGATTTTCTCCTTGTTCTCACCTGAATCAACTTCTTAAAGTACGAACAAATTTATCTTTACTATCCATCTGCGCTCTAATTTTTATTTAATTTAACTTAACTAGAATCTGATTTGTGTAATCAAGTTGATTCCTTAGCTATTACTGCAACGAGAATTTTTTCTCATCCTTATTTTCACGATTTAATGCATTCATGATGAGACTCGGGAAAATCTTCACATACACACGCCGATTCCTATAAGAAACTTTAGTTCAGAAGTTTGCAGTTGCAGATGGTTTACTAATGATTTATGGCAGCAGGAATTTAAGAAATCCAGACTCCGCGGAATCGAGCACATTCGATTTAATGAAATCAAAGATCCGGAGAACCAAAAATTTATGCTATCAGAATTCCGCGAAAATCGATATCCGCCTATCTAGCCGGTGAAATATAGAAGCGATATTTTAGAAAATCAGAAATCTGTAACATTATTTTCGCGGCAAGTAATGCACAAGAAGGAAAATATATAGATTTAGGGAATGATAGATCTCGCAATGCGCGTGTTATATATGCTCCGGCGTGAACACATGTAAAAGCAGTCGTGTGCCTAGTATGCCGGTATCTATATGCGCCTCCAGCCGGCGCGGTACGACTTTCACCTTTCACCTCGCTCGAGCACGATTCCACTGTTGACTTCTCGAACTCTTACCCTACCGATATGCTGCAGCGAGCCGATGCAGCATCGGCGGTCGGATATATTCGATCGTATGAGTACGATCTACGACGACGAGGCCAGGCGGCGTGTCACGATTCGGTTTCACTGGCGGATTCGTGGCATAAAATTGAAACGATGGAAAGCATCCGTGCAAGGATGCACGGCGCTTTCCCGTGCTTCCTACAAGTACGATCGGGTTAATTGAAAGTGACCGTAAGATTTCGAGTTCTCGTCGAGTAGAAAGACGATGTTCAGATTCATTAGAAGAAAAACTTCATTAGACCGTACGTTCTGCATTAAGCGTTCTGCAATGTTGCGAACAAACAATAATTATCTGTCAAATCGTGCGGATGATTGATGCTACCGTGTGCAATATAACTGCCGCTATTACTACAATAATTATTTTAATATAATGTATACAATTCGTGTAATTTGTATAATTCATAAATTTAATCAGCAATATTTGTATAATTTTTAAATTTATTTATTGATTAAAGTTATTGATTGAATATTATATTAGTCATATTTTATTCATGAAATTGATTTAATTAATTTATTGCTATAATTGTATTTTACTGACAATTCCATCAATTCTACTTCATGTTTTAAAGATTATAAAATCCGTTTAAAAATTCTTATTTCACTTCTACTCGTAATCTGCAATGAATGTGACATTGTTTCACACGAGGCCATAAGAAAACGTGACTAAGCGTGCGAGAATAAAATAAGTATGTTTTTGAAACTAGATTTATACGATTATATATCCTGAGCGCTATAATATTAATGGAGATCGTCGTCCGTGAAAGAACATCGCTTTATCTGCACGAAGGAAAGCAACTTCACAACATCCGGATGACCGAAAATACGTGATTAAATGCTCGTGAATATACCTCTATTGTAAATTATCTTACAACAAGATTGTCTAGAATTATGAGATGTGTGAGACGACACACGATTATGCTCGCGCGTAATCCATCCTGATGAAACACGCCGCCGACGCTCGCGACCGCACGTGAGAAGAAGCGAACAATAATGGAAACAACGCTGGCTCCAAGTAAAAAGATATTTAGCGATCGTGATCCAAGATTAAGGAACTAACGCCATTACTCCATACACTAAATTTTCTGCTAAAGCTCTGTCGAAATAATTGCGCGCGATTTCTTTTTTTTTTTTAC